AGAATGCAACTTTATGAATGAAAAACATTCAAGGAAATTTATCACAAAATACGATTAATGGTCACGCCTGGGTGATCAGACTATGGGTAAGATTGGCTTTCTTTATTACACTTTACAGTCTAACCAAGTTTTCTACAATGAGATTCAGAGACGTTTGTAATGAAAGAATGCATTGATAAAGGTCCACAGAACCCCAGTATCACGTGGAGAAAGATGACAAAACCAATCAGAGAAACAGAAATAACAAGTTGCAAGGGTACCTAGCAGCCTCACCGAAGAAATGCCAATTTGAAAAACAGAATGGTATTGTCCACTGACTGAGTTTTCACAAGGGACCACGTCTCCCCACCTCACCCCCGCCTCCAGGGCTTGTAAGGCACCGACCACCAAAGAACCAGTATTTTCTTTCGGAGAACGCTTCGCGGCATTTTTTTCAAGTACGAAGGGCTGGGCTGAGGCGAGCAGGGCCGCTTCGCGGAGCAACACTGCTACCTCCAAGTCTTGCAACCCGAGCGCCACAAACCCCGGAGGAAAATACATCTCCGCTGCGTAACCTCCCCGAGCCCCAAGATCTTGGCTGCGAAAGCAAAGCGTGATGACGGTGAGGACCAGAGAATGGGCTGGTACCGGCCGGAAAGGCCCCGACGAACCTACCGTACAGGGCAGCCTCCCATAGTCTTGCCCTCAGAACCATAGCAACCGCGCAAGAAGTTTCTGCGCCGCCGGAAAAACGCAGCCCGGAGGGCGGGTCTGGCCTACGATTGACGGGCTCTGGGCCTGCGCATCGGAGCCCAGGGAGGTCCCTAAGGGTGAGGGGCAGAAGTGGAAAGTGGCTGATTTGAGAGCTAAAAAGATCCGTACCATAAAGGAAGCCTAACCCAGCTAGGGTCTAAGTGACCCTGCAGCCGAGGCTGCGGAGCAGACAGCCCTGGACAGGGGACTTTTAAACTTCCATGTTTGTCTCTGCATTGTGCAATTTTAACAAGAACCCTGCTAACTCAGTTTAGTTAGAATTCTCCATCCTCAATATCTCAGGTTCCTCATCCCACAGGTGATGTCTGATCACCGGAGTCCACCTTCACCAAGAATCCTGTTAGTTCAATTTAGCCAGAATACCTCCTTACCCTTGGTGTTTCCTCTTCGTAATTTTCCATCCATTGCTACCCACCCTGCTTTTTGGCTATAAATCCCCGCTTTTCCTTGTTGTATTTGGAGTGGAACCAAGTTTCTCTCCCTTCACTACATAACCCCCCATTGCAGTGGTCCTACACCTATCCTGATGGATAAAGTCTGCCTTACCGTTCTTTAATAAATGTCATGAATAATTTTTTTCCTTAACACCCTTTACTTGGATCCCATGCCCTTCCACATTTTCAAGGAATAAGCTTTTGTAATGATCATTCCTTTTACTTGAATAACCACGTTCTCCATGTCTATCGGATCATGCTATCATCTACAAAGTGGGCAAATAGATGGTTAGAAATGAAGGATTTTGTTTTCTAGAGCTGATCGTGGTTACTGCTGTGTTGTAGGTGAGACCCCAGGGGGCTGAATCATCTGAGGAAGGTTGTGGGTGGGGGGCGCTGGAAGGTATGCAAAGTGGCTGATTCAAGAGCCAGGAGTGCTACCCTGAGGCAAGCCTCAGCCAGATAGGGGCTAGGTTACCCTGCAGCTGAGGCTGTGGAGTGGACAACCCTGGCCAGGAGCGGACAACCCTGGCCAGGAGCGGAAGCGAGGATGAGGCCCAGATTCAGAGGGGTCTGCTGAAGCCAGCACAGATGGGCTGAGGCTGAGTCAGCCAAGGAGCACCAGATTCTGACCAAGATGAGAGAGACAAATATGCAAGTTACACCAGCCAGACATATGTGAGCAAATGAACATCATCAGCAGGATTTGGGAGAGAAGTTAGCCTTCCTTCAGAAACCACTGAAAACACTGCAATCAACATGAGACTCCTAAGCAATGCAGACCTGTATTAGGCCATCTTGTATTGCTGTAAAGAAATACCTGAGTCTGGGTAATTTAAAAAGAAAAGAGGTTTTAATTAGCTCACGGCTCTGCAGGTTCTACAGAAAGCATGGCGCTGGCTTTGTCAGAGGCACTCGAACCAGAGCAACTCGATTTTGAGTGAGGGGTAGGAAAAATGAGGCTGGGACTTGCTTAGCTGCATTCTCAGAAAGTTAATTATTTCTAGCCTCTAGAGGTTTACGGTTAAGGGAACAGATTGATAACATTTACTGAACAGACCCAGACTTAGGAGTGTCCCGATATCCTGATACCTTGAGAACAGAAGCATTCCTAATTTTGCTTTAAAGATCATAATATCAATTCTTGCAAAATATAGTAATTAAGAAAATTAATCCTTTATCACAAACCCTTGTAGCAGACCATATCTCCCCATAATCTTTTTTAATCCTGTATATACATGAGTATTTTACCTAGGGTGGACACATTCCTTCTCTTACTTTTGGGAACACCCTACTCTGTCTATAGAGTAGCCGTATTTTTCACCACTTTACTTTCTTAATAAACTTTCTTTTGCTTTGCACGGTGTACTCATCCTGAATTCTTTCTTGGATGAGATCCAAGAACCCTCTCCTGGGATCTGGATTGGGACCCCTTTCTGGTAACAGCTTCTGCTCAGCTTCTGGGGAGGCCTCAGGAAGCTTTTGCTCTTGGTAAAAGGTGAAGCAGGAGCAAGCACTTCATATGGCAAAGGCAGGAGCGAGAGAGAGCTGGGGGAGGGGAGGCAGGTGCTACACACTTTTAAATGACCAGATCTCATGATTATTATATAATGTTCAATTTTGTCCCTTGTAATAATCCCCAGTATGAAGTATGGTTTGTGAGGTATTAATTTGACACATTGAATTTTTTTTTTT